TCTCTATCATATAAGCCTTCAAAGAGCTAGAACCATTGCATTTATCCTTTACATCACCTACCAAAGTGTTTTCAAAACGTTAGGACTTGTTATAAAAATCACCTTTCACTGATCATTTATAAAAATCACCTTTCACTGATCATTATTTCCTTCTAAAATCCAGTTTTAAGTTAAAATCGTATACTACCAAATAATTATTTTCTCTAAAAAATTACTGAGCTCAAAAAGATTAACCATAAGTTAGAAACAATGGAAATTTTCAACATATTTAGCAGTCAAAACTTGTATTTATTTGAAGGTCTATGGACTTTATTTAATGCCATCTTTTTTTTTTTTCTTTTTTAGTATACCCTGAAAACCAAGGCTAAAAACTAAGTCATATATTATGTCAAAAATATATTTTGGGGGGCCGGCCCCGTGGCTTAGCGGTTAAGTGTGTGCGTTCCGCTACTGGCGGCCCTGGTTCGGATCCTGGGCGTGCACCGACCCACCGCTTCTCCGGCCATGCTGAGGCCGTGTCCCACATACAGCAACTAGAAGGATGTGCAACTGTGACATACAACTATCTACTGGCGCTTCGGGGAAAAAAAAAAGGAGGAGGATTGGCAATAGATGTTAGCTCAGAGCTGGTCTTACTCAGCAAAAAGAGGAGGATTAGCACGGATGTTAGCTCAGGGATGATCTTCCTCAAAAAAATATATATATATATTTTTTGGGGATTTCCTCAAATCTCTAGCTTATAAGAAAAAACAGCTTGACATTTAATAGAAAATAGCCTGTACATGTAGTGACAACTGCCTCATAAATAATAAAAATGCTACTTTCTTTTCTTTTTTTGTGGTCATTAACTTTGTTTCACAGGGAGGTTAAATACTCTTATATCTAAAATGAAAACCCATAAAAAACACTGAAAGGCACAGTATGTCTTAAATGAGTTTTCTTGGTTTCAAAAGCTTTTCTTATTTCTCTTTCACAGTGATCTGAGAAATTAAAATTAGCATTTGAAAGTATTCAAAAATTGTTTAAATCATTGTTTAGCTGTTATGTTCTACAGGTGCAGTTCTATATGAAAGAAATTTACCATCTGCTATGTCTCAATCTTACCAATTTACAATTTTACTAACCAAAAGGTAAGATATCTTTGACTTCACAAATTAATAGGACCTTCTTTTGGATGGAAAAATTCTTAAACATAAAATCTATTTCAATAAAGGAAACAGAAAGGAACTTGCTAGAAAGGAATAAAATAAAGGAGTCATTCAGTCAATATTAATTTTGTCTCCTCTACGCCTAAGACTAGACTAAGTGCTGGGGATACAAAAATGCATAATACACTCTAATCAGGAGATATTCATATTCTAGCAGAATACATAAACCTTACCTATACCAGAGTGTGATAAAATATGAGAGGAAAAATGCATATAAATGGACAAGGAGCCATGACAGCATGAAAACATAAATAGTCCTGCCTCCACTTGGCTGTAAGGCACGGTCCATGTTTGCTCTATCACTGCTGGATGATCACTAGCTTCTAGCATAGTTTCAGGCACATGTTAGCTGTTCAATAAATATTTGTGGGCTAAAAAAATAAAAGAGAAAAGGCTTCACAGAAAGGTGACAATAGAGACGAGCATTAAAACATATGTAGGAGTTAGACAAAAAAGGAGGGAAAGGGCATTCTAGGTAGAAGGAACAGAATGAACTACTACACCCACCTTTCACCTAATATGTAGGTAACATTCAGCCTCTTCCTCCAAAATACATTTTCTACAACCTTTACCCAGCTAACGACTTCCTAAACGAATATTTTAATTTTTAAAAAGTAGAAAATAGACTACCAAGGTCTCCAGCATCCACAGGATCCCACGCTAAGATTTTTGAGTGCGTAAGCTCAATCATTATCAGTACAAACAAAACCAAACATAACAGCTACAAAAATAATTTATAGCTAAAAATAAAAATGGAATAAAGTATATTTTAACCACATATCTTTTTAAGTCAGATTTAATGAAACCATTTTAAAAGTAATTTCATAAAATTGAACTTAATAAAGACAACTTTAAAATAGTCATATATCTAAGAAAGAATACAAGCTAAGGCAAAAATAGTAAAAAAGGAACTCTATACCAAAAAACAGCAATGAAGGCAGTTTTTAGACTAAGTCTGACACATTAGGTTATATACCAAGTTCTGCAAGTGTGACATTTTGAGTCATGCTTTAGGTCAACGATAAATATGAGCTGTTGGTTTGGTCAACCTTCTACCGGCTGGCAAATGTTTTCTAAAAGCGTCAGAGATAATAAATATTTTAGGCCGTGGGCCACATGGTTTCTGTCACAACTATTTAATTCAGCTGTTGTAGCATGAAAGTAAACATAGACAATACACAAATGAATCGGTGTGGCAGGGTTCTAATAAATCTTTATTTATAAAAACAGGTGGTTGGCCCATGACCATAGTTTGCCAACCCCTGGTCCTAGAGTCTCAAAGCAACTTCTCAATAATTCTTTTTATCAAGATAGCTTTACTTCCTTTCATCCCTTTCACATAAACTGTATTAGTGTTTCTTTAAAGCCTCTAAAGACACCTATAAGAGAACATAGCAGACATTCTCTTGTTTTACAGATAAAGAAACTGAAGCTCAAAGCGATTGAGTGAGTTGCCCTAAAGAGCTACTAGTTGAGCTGAGACTAAAAACCAGGCTTTTTTTTTTTCCACAACTTCTAACCATCTTTCTCCATACCCAATTCTCCAAGAGATACCCCAAATGAAACATTTCAATCATTTTTAGAATTCTCTGATGAACCCAAGCTCTCTATAGCAGACTCACCACGTCCACAATAGATTTCAAGAACATCTACATAAATGTCCGTTTAAATTATTTATTTCAATTCTGAAACCAAATTATTCTCAGATCCCTTCTCTCTTTACAAGATTCCTGTCTTCTTCCATTTAGGCTATTTTCTTATTTACAAGTCATCTAATATGTCACTTCATCTTCAAATAGCCAGCAAGAAAAAGTACACCCTCTTAAGAGGTTGTAAACTCTTTTAGTCACTTAATAAGAATTTGTGTACAGAACAATATAAATGAGGTGAGAGGGCTCGTGCCTGACTTTTCAGAGCTTATAATCTAGTTGAGAAATATCAGATGCACAAATATGAAACTAAGGAGCAACTCCATGTAACTGAGGTCAAATCTAAGAAACTTACAAGAAATGAGAAAATTTAATTTGCAGCACACACTGTCATAAAACATGTGCCTTCTGTGCCACTGAAGTCACAGATAATGCCCTGTATTTGGCATAATGAAAGTTTAATTAATATAAATAACTACAAACACCTCTTTGACATCATAATAATATAGTCCCAAAGATAAAACCAGATCACATTTTTTAAATTATTTTTTGGGGGGGCTTCTTCTACTTTATTCTAGTTATTGCCATGAAAGAGCAGCTTATATTGGACTAACTCCCTGTCCAAAAACAACTATCAAAGATGGACAAAATACAGGCAGTCCCTCCTTTGCATAGTACTGCAGGACTGGAAAGGGGACCATAAAGTTGTGCAAAGTGACCCTAATAATTAATGGGAAAAATGATAATTGTTCTGAGATCTTTAAAAAATTGTCAAAACATTAAAAACTCTGTTGGTTATCAACACACGGACAGAGATAACTATATGGTGGTTAGCAGGGGCAAGTGGGTGGGGGGCTGGGCACAATGGGTGAAGGGAGGCATTTATATGGTGACTGGCGAACAATAATGTACAACCAAAATTTCACAATGTTATAAACTATTGACATCAATAATAATAATAAAAAAAACTCTGTTGGTTATAAATGTATAAGAAAATGAAAAAAGTAAATAACACTAATATTTATTTAGTACACCGTAATTTAAAACAGTAGAAATGTTGAGAATTAAAGTGTTTTATTTCTTTGTAAAAAACTCAAGCATAATTTAAATAGTGCTTGCTTTCTTGACATAAAACTATGAGCAAGCATTTTTCCTAAACCTTGGCATTGCCATACTCCTTTCTAAGTTTGGATCAATTTCTAAACATGTCATCATTTGCACTTTTGATGACATGAAATATCTCTGAGAGTTTCTTTAACGCCAAGTTTTTTCACCAGCATTACTTGCTCCAGGATAACTTCATCCTTTTCATCAAGACCACTTTCCCCATTTATGTGGAAAAGTTCACCTTCACTAATTTCCTGTGGTTGCATATCTAAAGTCTCTTAAATGGCAGTAGTGCTAACATTCTGACAGTCAGCTATTTCTTCTAGAATTCCATTACATTCTATTCAAATTTCACTTCTAGTATTATTGCTTGCTTCTTTGCTACACTTTCATGTTTCTTGGCCAATTCTCTCTTTCAACTATCCAGTTTTATAAAATGTCATGTGGGCTTATCACTGGAGACAAGGAGGCAACACAACGACATGCTTTGCTGTCTGTGGGTGAACTAAATAACAGATGTGTAACGATGATTCTCTGACAGACACTAAAAAAGTGATAACTGGTCACTGATCATGATGCATATTTGTTGTTACATAATGATTCATGGACTGAAGAGAGGGCAATAAAGTTTGTACTTTATGTAATTATTCAGTTAATATATGATAGTAAATGAAATTTGAACCATATTGCTGGGGAACTGGTATTATTAACAAAACCATATTAACTGAAATTAATGATTCCAGAAAGATCATGACTAGGAGCAAGGGCATTTTCTCCAGAAGCTAAACACCGGAATTATACTATCATATGTTATGGGCAAAGCAATCATTCTAATGCTAGGGAATCCATGAAGAGACGTATGTTGGAAGGTTACAACATAAGGGATGACTAAAGGTAGCTTCTTTGCAAAATTTTGTGTGTAGAGGCTGGAATTAAACTTGTACTATCAATCCTAAAATATACAATTACTCACAGGATTATAGTTACTTCATACTTTATAAAGTGGTATTCTGAAATTAAGCACTGCTATATTTACCATTTTGTAATCCCATCCAGAGCTGCTTGTGATCTTTTTTCTGCATTTCATTGATTACTTGACTTTTATGCTTTAAAGCATCAGCTTCTTTCACACAAGACATAAAATGAGCTTCAACTGCATCCTTAGATGGACAGTGCAGAAGGTCCTTTTCTGGGAAACTCTAACAAAGGAAAAAAAAATACACACATAAAACAGGTACACACATTACAAAATCAGCTTCTTAAAGAACTGTATATCCCTCAATTATCCAATATTTTTAGCAAACCGTCTCTTACCTTCCCAGTAAAGAACAACTCCAAATACTTTTTAAATTAAGTAAAAAATCTTTAGCTATCTGGTATATTTTGTACTTTTTCCAAATAGCCCTTATGTAATATGATGTATGTTTACAACAACATGAAAAGATATGAAAGAGTATTAATTTAAAAAATAGCTTTTTGACTGACCATACCTAGTGTTGGCAAGAATGTGGAATGGAACTCTCATCACTCCTGGTGGGAATGTAAAATGGTACAACTGCTTTGGAAAACAGTTTGGTAGTTTCTTAAAAAAAGTAAATGTACACCTACCATCTGATCCAGTCATTGTACAACTAGGTAATTACCTAAGAGAAATAAAAGCATATGTCCACACAAAGATTTATATGTGAATACAAACAAAACTCTCTTGAAAACTAACTGTAGATGCCCTCCTACCAAAAGAAAAGGCACTTAACTACCTATGGCTATTTCTTAAAGTATGTTTTTTAAATGCAAATAATCAGTCATACCTGCTTCTGTTCTAATAGAGTCTGATCTCATAGATCTGCTGAGTAAAAGGTGAGCCACCATGTAACAACTCATTGTTCACAGCTGCCTGGAGCAGAAGAGAACAGCTGAGACAATCAAATTGTCTCTCTAGGTAAACGGATTCCATATTAATGGCACGCTTGAACTAGAAATTTATAAAGAACCAAGGTGGATGTTTTCAGACATATGCACACAAAGGCAAAGAATGTGAGAAAATATAAAATTTTGTAAAAATGGAAAGTCAAAAGGAGAATGACAGCTAGAAAGGCAAAACTAAAAGACAGGAGAGGACATGGGCGGCAGAAAGAGAGGGTCCCTGGCTTAACTGACTTTACAATCAGCTGTATTTGCTTTGCTTAAGCTAGATTGAGATTTGCCCTGGTTTCCTGACCAGGGTAAAGAATTAAATGTACACAATATCAATTCTATTATATTCAAATGGATTAGCATTATGATAATTATTCCTACGTAAGAAAATTTTAGCTTTGTTATACTTGACCTATAAATTTGGAATGGCTTTTTCAGATATTGTACAGTTCTCTGTGGTGCTAATTGTCCACTTTGGTTATGAATGAGTGGCAGAAAATATGAAAGTTAATATTCCAAAGAAAATATTTTCATGTAATTTGAATTTATGACCTACTTAGGCTTGAGTACTATTAGAATTTCTTAAAACTGTATACAAGCTGATTATGAAAAAAAAGAGTTAGGATCTCTCAAAGTCAGGGAAAAAAATACCACCACTTTTTAGTGTTGCTCCAACATAGGCTGCTAATCCCCTCAACGGCTCCTGTAATCAGAGAAGGTACTGAAGTTTTGCTTTTCCCAGACTTCCATTGCTTTGCAGGTTTCTAAGCTTAACCGATGTTGACACCTATACTTGACAGCTGACAATTACAAATGACTGGTCTTTACAGCAAATGAGAGGGTCCATCAAGAGAGTGCAGATATTTGTATATTTATGCTTCAACAGAGAATGCTCTACCTCTGTTTAGGAGAGAGGTGAACTCTCTAATGAAATGAACTCAGGGGAAACATGAGAGCAGTGACAGAAAGAAGAGATATGTGCTTAGACAGCCACAGCAGTTGAATAAATTGTGGCAATGACTAAAGTGACAGCTGTCTCAGGCAAAGCCCTCTCAGCTCCTACTCTGAAATGCTCCTCTTTCCATGATTAGCTTGGGATAGGGGTGGGAAATCTTTTTTTAAAAGCTTCACAGTAAAATTACAAACAGATTCTTGATTCATTACATTTCTAACCTCTTACATTACCAGTTGTGTATAAGTGCATCTTTTCAGTTCAAATTCTTGCAAACAAAGGTAGTGAGTTTGACATCATGTTTACTTGCTTTCATTAATCTTCCAAGTCAGAATGTCCAATAAACTAAATTCAATTTAACTTTTACAGAAGTGACCTGAAAAATACTATTTACTTAGATATCATTACCTGTGTCCTTTAATTAAAATATTAATCCAGACAGTCTGGAATGTCCAGACACATTAGAGATAACCAAACAACACTAAACTAAAACTAGTTACAAGGTAAGCGACAAAAAAAGCCTTTCAACTTGTTAATAACATTGCAAGCTCAACATCAAATGCAAAGGCAACAAGAGCAAAAGTAGACAAGTGGGACTACATCAAACTAAAAAGCTTCTGCAGAGCAAAGCAAACAATCAACAAAATGAAAAGGCAACCTACTGAACGGGAGAAAATATTTGCAAATGAAATATCTGATAAGAGGTAAATATCCAAAATATATAAAGAACTCATATAACTCAACAGCAAAAAAACAAACAGTCCGATTAAAAAACGAGCAGAAGATCTGAACAGACATTTTTCCAAAGAAGACATACAAGGGTACATGGAAAGATGCTCAACGCCACTAATCATCAGGGAAATGCAAATCAAAACCACAATGAGTTATCACCTCACGCCTGTTAGAATGCCTATTATCAAAAAGACAAGAAATAACAAGTGTTAGAAAAGATGTGGAGAAAAGGGAACGCTTTTGCACTGTTGGTGGGAATGTAAATTGGTGCAGCCACTATGGAAAAACAGTATGGAGATTTCTCAAAAAATTAAAAATAAAACTACCATATGATCCAGCAATTCCACTTCCGGTATTTATCTGAAGAAAACAAAAACACTAATTCAAAAAGACACATGCATTTCCATACTCATTACAGCATTATTTACAATTGCTGAGTCATGGAAACAACCTAAGCGTCCATCCATGGATGAAGGGATAAAGAAGATGTTGTATACATATACAATGGAATATGATTCAGCCATTAAAAAGAATGAAATCTTGTCACGTGTGACAACAATCAAGCTCACAGATACAGAGAATAGATTGATGCTTGCCAGAGACAGGAGGTGGAGGGGTGGGTAATACGGGTGAAGGGAGTCAAAAAGTACAAACTTCTAGTTATAAATAAGTCATGGGGATGTAATGTACAGCATGGTGACTGCAGTTAATAATACTCTATTGCATACTTAAAAGTTGCTAGGAGTAAATCTTAAAAGTTGTCATCACAAGAAAAAAAATTTTTGTTAACTGTATGGTGACGGATGTTAACTAGACTTGTTGTAGTGATCATTTTGCAATATATACAAATATCAAATCATTATGTTATACACCTGAAACTGATATAATGCTATATGTCAATTGCAGTAGTCCTCCCTTATCCACAGGAGATATGTTCCAAGACCCCCAGTAGATGCCTGGATGGTATCAAACCCTACGTATATGATGTTTTTTCCTATACATATCTATAATCAAGTTTAATTTATAAATTAGGCACAGTAAGAGATTAACAACAATAACTAATAATAAAATAGAACAATTACAACAATATACTGCAATAAAAGTTATCATAGATCCTAGCAACCTCAAAATACAATATTTTTTCTTTCCTTATTAAGTCAAGAACTTTCACCTTTTCACTTAAAGGAAATACTTCACAGCTTCTCTTTGGCATATCTGAATTGCCAGCATCACTATTCTTGCGCTTAGGTCATTATTAAGCACAAGAGTTACTTGAATACAAGCACTGCGATACCACAACAATGGGATACTAAGTGACTAAAGGGCAGGTACTGTATACAGCTGTGGATACACTGGACAAAGGAATGATTCACATCCAGGGCGGATAGAAAGGGATGGAGCAATATTTCATCACACTACTCAGAATAGTGCACGATTCAAAACTTATGAATTGTTTACTTCTGGAATTTTCCATTTAATATTTTCGGACCATGGCTGACCATGGTAACTGAAACCATGGAAAGCAAATCATGGATAAGGTGTGACTACTGTACACCCCAATAAAAAAATACCACAAGCTCTATTAAGACAATAGAGCAAAACAAAAAAACATCTTTCATATGATCCATAAAGACTCTAATGCCCCATTAAAAATACAGGAGTTGCCAACACATAGTGTTATGGACTCAATGTCTGTGTCCCCCAAATATTCATATGTTGAAGCCCTAACCCTCAGTGTGGCTATATTCGGAAATGGGGCCTCTAAGGAAGCAATTAAGGTTAAATGAGGTCATAAGGGTGGGGCCCTGATCCAACAGGATTAGTGTCCTTGTAAGGAAAGACAGCAGAGAGCTCACTCTCTCCCTCCCCACACACAAGGAAGAAAGACCCCGGGTGAGAAGGCAACTAGAGAGGCTCCACCAGAAACCGAATCCCGCTGGATCTTGATCTTGATCTTGGACTTTCCAGCCTCCTGAACCGTGAGAAAATAAATTTCTGTTGTTTAAGCCACCCAGTCTGTGGTATTTTGTTACGGCAGTCCAAGCAGAACATACATACATAATGTCTTTTTACTTTATTGTTGAGCCACGTCTAATAGTAGACTCAGCATTCTGACAGGGAAAATATGAGGCCATAGTTTAAAGGCTAACTTGTATAAAATCTTAAAATATTCTTTCTAAGATCACTTTGGTGTGTGCGCATGTGGAGATGGAAAGGGAGGGAATTTTTCAAATATTTCTTGCAATGTATCATTTTCAGGATGAGAGAAGAATATATCACGAAAAAGATAGTAATAGAAGTTAACTGAATCAATGCTAAAATCAGCACTAAAAGTTATTAAACTTTCTTGATTTTCTTAAATCTAATTTTACCAAGATTCAATCTACAAACTTAGCTGCAACCAATCATCTCCTTCCCTCCTGGTACAATCTCCCATCCTGTTTGCTAGATCCCATTTTTTGGATCTTTGAAACCTACCACAATTAATTATTTCTCTCTTTCTGTAACATTATGTTAAGGCATCTTCTATCTAATTACCATTTCCCATAAGTTGTTCTTTTTTGTGTGTGTGTGTGTGTGAGGAAGATCAGCCCTGAGCTA